TTGAGTTAAAGGAATCCAATTGCAGCTTTACCAGTTCCACAGCAAGTGTTATTCAGTTTCTGGCAGTACACACACAATACCTTCAAAATTGGCCTTGTTGGTTTCTCATAGCTCATAAAATCATCAGAATCTGCAGGACCACTTTTTGAAAAACTATGAGATCTAAACCTTAATTGACCAATCTGCCCAGTGAGAACCCCCAAGACATAGGACCCTGGTTTTTGTGGTGGCAGCGAAAGGGTGATGATATTTTTCCCAGGCCTTAGCACAATAGCTTCCGAGCTTTTTATTGCCTGATAAGAAAAATAAAAAATAAAAAATAAAAAATAAATAAAAAAAATTAAAAAAAAATGAGTTACCATGAAATGGCATCAAGAGATGTTGGTGATCACATGGAAAAATGTGTCTACCTTAGCACCTTCATCAGTATTATTCGTAGCTGTCAGCATAAGGCTGAGTGATTCAAGAGTTATATCATCTGGAAATTCACTCAATAGAGAAACAGATAGTGTGCCAGGGTCCCCATCACAAAGCTCAAGTGGAGGTCCCTGAAAGCTCGAAAATGTTATTAAGGAAGACACGTCTAAGGGCACTGGATGCTCCATCTCACTATGAGCAAGACGGACGACTTCTGACTGAAATGCCTGACGTTCCTTGGTTGAGAACAATCCTTTATCTACAGACAACAATCTCACACAAGACGAGAGGTAGCCGGCCTGATCATTGAGTATCTTTTGACACTCGGCCAAATTCGGTAGAACTTCAGCTAGTAGGTTCTCCCATCCTTCACCCGCATAAAGGGCACAAACTTTCTCATACAAATTTGCAGCAGAATAGTAATTTTCATGCTTATGGTACACTGCTGCAATTTCACCATCCAGGACAACTCCATGTCTCTTCCACCAAGAACGATGGTAGTTATCTGCAGCACCCTTTGACAGATCCAGATATTTTTGCTGGCAAATCAAAAAGTCATATTATGCATGAGGTTATAGAAATTTAATGCATACATTTGATACAACAGAAAGGTGATAGATTTAATTAAATTGACAAAATTGACGTACCAAAAAAGGTTAAAGGGAAAGGAAGAAGAGAAAAGAAAATGGACGGTCTCTAACAAGAGTAGCAAAAAAGCAATTCCCAGTTTAGGGCACATCTATCTTAAAAATATACTAAGCTCCAATATCACAAGTTTCTAAAACGAGATTATTAAAAGTCTATAACAAGCAGCAAAATCTATATTTACATGGTCAAATGCAAATGGAATTGTCACATAAAAAGATAAATCAGGATCTCCTTTATGTTTCTGAAGATGCTTGAATAATACTAGCTTAACCTATCTTAGTGAAACATCGGACTGAAAAGAGACAACTCCTATTTATATACATCTCTGCTCACTGTCAACTTTCCCTGTCAATTAACATTAATTGAATTAAAGCCACTTTGGATAATAACCTAACACAAAACTTCAAGAAGAAACGAGGATTGCAGCCAATTACCTCAAATTGCTCAGCAGAGGCTAACGAATTCCATAGTTTTGAATCAGAAATTGTATTGCGTAAAGCATTCTCCGCGGCAACATATATTTCTGCGAGCCTCATAGGCCGATCAATTGAACCTTCGAAATTCCCCGGTGAAGAGAATGTTCTTGACATGGATACTGGTCCTGAACTGTCAATGATAAACATTTGAGAAGAGCCGGAATGTGTCTTAGGGTAATAACTTAAAAAGATCTGATAACGAATAATACATACACATATATGTATATGATTTGGGGG